ATCAAACATTAAGAAATTGAACAGTTTGAAGGCTTCGATTCTTAAGTTTCGATTCCTTCGGAATTGAATGTATTGTCGAAGGCTTTCATGGCTGGAATCACTGGGTTGTTGTAGTTTTTCGGGCTATATGGCCATGTTCTAGAGGCATTATCTCCTGATGTTTCGCCTGCATCTATGGCAAGCATCCACAGAGGTTGTGAGGTCTGTTAGAAACTAGGAAAATGGGCTTTATATATCTGTGGAATGTCCAGGGTGGGAGAAAGAACTCTTGTCTGTTAGAGGTAGGTATGAATGTTTCAATTGGCCACCTTGATTACCATTGATGGCCTGGCAGTTTTTAGTGTGGCTTGTTAGTGCCTGGGGGAATCTTTTGTTGAGAGATGATTAGCTGTCCCTGATTGTTTCCTCTCTGGAGTTTCTCTGTGTTTGGTGGAGTTCAGAATGCTCTTTGATTGTAGGTGAACTGTACATCCAAGCAACTACAACTCCCAAATGACAAAATCAAATTTTTTGAGTGATGATCATTCCTTGGGTTAGTAGGTGTCTTGTGTCCAAATTTGGTGTCAAATCGGCAGCTCATGCCAACCCGGGGTTTTTGAGTTCTGTTAATCCCACAAACGAACATTGCATTTTTATTTATATAGATACACAATGTCTACTTGCATTTCTCATAGTATGTCTAATCTAGAGTCTTGTATTCTATCCAATCATTATTTTCCGATGTCATCTGAACCATAGATTGTTTCAGTTCTTAGCTCCATTTTGAGATCTTCTTTAAATTCAGTTGACATTGCTTTCTCCAAATTAGGCTCTAGTTGAGCCATTTGTATCTGGAAGGCTTACGTTTCTCATCGTGTTTCTGTAGCGTTCCCTTTTCATCTTAGTTCCGAATCCATTCTTCTCGCAAGTATGTCTTCATAATAGCTTCAGCAGAACAAACCCGTCCCAGAGATTTTTCTAATTAATTGTAATGACTGATTTTCTCCACCAGATGCCAAACTTCACTCTCAGTTCTTCTTCAAGAGTCTTATTCATAGCATTTAAGAGCCTAGCTTACTCACCTGGACACTTCTGCCTTGCATTGTTCAAGCTCAGCGCGGATCTAGACAGCCCTTTTAATGCAAAATCTTTCGCTGTCCAGATGACATCCTGGACAAATTGGAATTAAAGGCCGGAGGTTTAGCACAGCTGGTAAATCACCAGCAATTATAAGATCTGTTAACCAAAAGGTTGCAAGTTCGAAGCCCCGGGTCGGCATGAGCTGCTGACTGTCAGCCTAGCTCATTGTTTACCTAATAACATAACAATCACTTAATTCATTGGGTTGTTGTAGGTTTTTTCCGGCTATATGGCCATGTTCTAGAGGCGTTCTCTCCTGACGTTTCGCCTGCATCTATGGCAAGCATCCTCAGAGGTAGTGAGGTCTGCTGGAAATAGGAAAATGGGTTTATATATCTGTGGAATGACCAGGGTGGGACAAAGGACTTTGTCTGCTGGAGCTAGGTGTGAATGTTTCAACTGACCACCTTGATTAGCATTTAATGGCTTGGAAGTGCCTGGGGAATCTTTTGTTGAGAGGTGATTTGATGTGCCTGATTGTTTACTCTCTGTTGTTTTGCTGTTGTAATTTTTGAGTTTTTTAATACTGGTAGCCAGATTTTGTTCATTTTCATGGTTTCCTTCTTTCTGTTGAAATTATCACTCTCAAAAAAGATTCCCCCCAGGCACTTCCAAGCCATTAAATGCTAATCAAGGTGGTCAGTTGAAACAGTCACACCTAGCTCCAGCAGACAAAAGTCCTTTGTCCCACCCTGGTCATTCCACAGATATATAAACCCATTTTCCTACTTCCAACAGACCTCACTACCTCTGAGGATGCTTGCCATAGATGCAGGTGAAACGTCAGGAGAAAATGCCTCTAGAACATGGCCATATAGCCCGGAAAAACCTACAACAACCCAGTGATTCCGGCCATGAAAGCCTTATAATTTATTTATACCCCGCCACCATCTCCCCAAGGGGACTCAAAGCGGCTTACATGAGGCCAAGCCCAACAATGCAATGCATCAATATACAACAAAACACAGCAATAAAATATAAAGAATTAAAATACAATACAAAACCATTATAAATGGTAAATCAACAATATAAAATCGCAACATTTAAGACAAGAAAATCTTAGTGGGCAGGGCCACATCCAATAGATTAAAAATTAAAACATTGGGTGAGACAACAGTTTGATGCATCTGGACAGGGGATCTGGGGGATTAGCAGGATTTGATTGCACTAACGGATAAAAGAAAGTGCTTGTAAGGGCATTTAGCAAGAATTGGTCAGATCAGGGAATTATTGTTCTTTCATTCATTGAAGGCATACTGGAACAGCCAAGTCTTCCTAACTCCTGGAACGACTCCATCAGCGCTGCCTCTGGAAAATCCTGCAAATATCTTGGGAAGACAAGTGGACAAACGTCAGCGTGCTGGAAGAAGCAAAGACCACCAGCATTGAAGCGATGGTCCTCCAACATCAACTCCGCTGGGCCGGCCACGTTGTCCGGATGCCGACCACCGTCTCCCAAAGCAGTTGCTCTACTCTGAACTTAAGAACGGAAAACGGAATGTTGGTGGACAGGAAAAGAGATTTAAAGATGGCCTCAAAGCCAACCTTAAAAACTCTGGCATAGACACTGAGAACTGGGAAGCCCTGGCCCTTGAGCGCTCCAGCTGGAGGTCAGCTGTGACCAGCAGTGCTGCAGAATTTGAAGAGGCACGAATGGAGGGTGAAAGAGAGAAATGTGCCAAAAGGAAGGCGTGTCAAGCCAACCCCGACCGCGGACCATCTTCCACCTGGAAACCGATGCCCTCACTGCGGGAAAAGATGCAGATCAAGAATAGGGCTCCACAGTCACCTACAGACCCACCGCCTGGATAGTACACTTGGAGGACCATCATCCTCAGACTATGAGGGATCGCCTAGGTAAGTAGTAAGTAAGTAAGTTTGGGTAAAGTTATATGTAGACAGCAGCAGGCAAGTACCGAATCTGCTCATGAATTCAACATCCAGCGTTTACAAGGCACAAAACCTGCTTGGGGGGTTTGGTGCGTCCGATACTAAGCCTATTAAAGTTTGGTGACCCATACTACACTTGGAGGACCATCCTCCTCGGACTACGAAGGATCACCTAAGTAAGTAAGTAAGGGAGTCTGCATCGCAATGGCAATGCCTGAGCTTCAGGCCACATCAGCTAGCTTGCACTTATATCATAACATTGATAAACATATTTAAAACACACATTATAATTAGACATTTCGTTACACCCCAGTTGCTCAGGTTTGAAGTTGAGTAACAATCAGCTCCTGAAGACAAACCTCTGGCTTGTCTGCAAGGATGTTGCCTAGGGGATGCCATATGTTTTGATGTTTTACCATCTTTGTGAGAGGCTTCTCTCATGTCCCCGCATGAGGAGCTGGAGCTGACAGAGGGAGCTCATCCATGCTCTCAGTGGATTTGAACCTCCGACTTCAGTCCTGCTGGCACAAGGGTTTAACCCATTGCAGAAACAGAGGTGCCATTAAAGAAAGGATGAAGTCGCTAGTAATTGAAAAGACTTTGATTTGTCTGCAACCCTGGAAAGGTGCTTTCAACCAGATCAGTGTTCTAGATCAGGGCTGTGGAAACGGAGCCCCATGGAGTCCCACACTGGAAGTGCTCTAAGGTCATGTGATGGCTTTCATGGAACTCTCATGAGAATCAGTTTCCAAAACACATGGAAACGGAGCCATAAGTCTGTCCGATGAGGTCCCAAGATGGCCAGCCTATTATTCCAGGTGAGCCCAGAGTAATAATAATAATAATAACAACAACAACAACAACAACAACAACAACACTTTATTTATACCCCGCTACCATCTCCCCAAGGGACTCGGTGTGGCTTACAATGAATATCGCTACGTTCTCGCCGCATCTTTTTGAGGGACGGAAGGTATGAGGGGAAATGCGAGGACTAGTGTGGCTGGCTAGCTCATCTGGCGGCAACCTCTTCACATCGAAAAGAAACGTATTTTTGTATCTTTCTTGAGGGAATCTCGTGGAGGAGGGAGGGAAGAGAGATAGAGGATTAAAAGAAGGTGATTATTGTGGTCATACGGACTGGAAATGTGACAGGTGGGAGTCAAAATGACACAGAGTCCACAGGCACATTTTGGTCTTGTGGGAGAAAACAAAATGAATCTGACGGGCCTATCGCAGGGCCCACCTGATATAATTTTCTTTGGTTTTTGTTTTGGGGGGGTGGGCCCATTAACACCCCTCTCCTAGATAGGTGAACTATACATCCCAGTAACTACAACTCGCATATGTCAAGGTCTATTTTCCCTCAAGAGCGCCTCAAGAGCGCCCCTGGGCAAAATCAACTATACTGCAAATGCTTACTTTGCGTAATGGGTTGAGCCGCCCCTGTTTTTGGTCCTCTTGCTCCTAGCTGGTTAATCAATTTTCTCAGAAGCTGTCTATGACCCTAGCCAAACTCTCAAAGCACATCACTTCTGTGGCATCTAAAGGGCCTGCCCCTATTTTTTGCTGTTTTCAGCATATGAAATATTCCTGATCCCAGCTTTGGGGAATAGGAAATTGCTGCAGTATTGATCAGGGATCAGTGTAATCTCAGTGTAAGCAGCAACTATATTATTCAATGAACACAAACACCGATTGGGTCAACATGTCCTTCCAGTTCTTAGCAATGTTTGTAGTTAAAATGTGTCACTTATAAAAACCAAAAACTCCCCTCAATCCCACCCATAAACAAAACAGAACGTAAATATAATGGTATAGAACAGAGAGGTAACTACAGAACTGTGACTAACATTGGCAGGGAGAGGAAAGCCTCAATTACTTTTGCCAGTTTGGGAATGGCAAGAGGTAGTTCCGCCCTGATTGCTATCTGGCTGGGTGCTTTATAACGAGTCCAGGAGACCTACTTATTATTTGCCGTGCTCCTTCGCCCCAGCAGTCATGAATTTCTGGGAGACGGTGCTTTCTGCTTTCCTTGCCTCCCTTTTGGCCATCATTCTTGGTGGCCTTTATAAAATAGGGGCCTTTCGCAAGCGGAGACCCAAAGAACCTCCCCTGGACAAAGGCTTCATTCCCTGGCTTGGATACGCAATACAATTTAAGAAGACTCCCGCAGAGTTCTTAGAAAAGATGCGGAAGAAGCATGGAGATATTTTCACCGTCTTGGTTGGTGGCAATTATATAAATTTTGTGTCAGATCCGCATACGTATGAGCCCCTCATGAAGGAACCCAAAGAAAAACTGGATTTTGAACAATTTTCGGCAATGGTGGTTCATAACGTATTTGGTATTCAGCCCACACATGCTCATCACCATGCTGTGGAAATAACTAGCAAGAAGTATCTCAGTGGGAAGCATCTAAACGAACTGAACCAAGTGATGATGGAGAAGTTGCAAGTTGTGATGCTTCACGGCCGGAGTTCAGACGATGGAGAAAAATCTTGGCACCAAGATGGACTCTTCCATTTCAGCTACAAAACTATTTTCCAAGCAGGTTTTCTGTCTTTGTTTGGCACCGAGCCAGGCAAAGACAAAGGAGGCAAAGAAAATTCAGTAGAAACCAATCTAGCACAATGTGCAGAGACATTTGAAATCTTTCAGAAATTTGACCATTATTTCCCACAACTTGTTGTCCAACTGCTGGATTCTGTAGGAAAGACGGAGACACAGAAATTACAGGGCATGTTGTTGGACATTCTGTCCATAGATAAGCTGTATCAGAGGGACGACATCAACAGTTGGGTGGTTGAAAATGATCAACAGATGGTTAACCTTGGAATGACAGACAAAATGCGGACTCAGTTCCAGCTTCTGCTTCTCTGGGCGTCTCAAGCTAACACTGGTCCAGCAACGTTCTGGATTATTTTGTTCCTCTTAAAACACCCAGAAGCAATGAAGGCAGTGAGGGAGGAACTGGGCAGAGTCCTCAAGGAGACGGGCCAGGAGGTGAAGCCAGGAAACCCCTTCCTCACTTTGTCCTTGGATAAAATAAAGACCCCTCTTCTGGACAGCGCGATACAGGAAACGCTGCGCTTGAAAGGAAGTGTTTTCATAATCAGAGGTGTCATGGAAGACATGGAAATTAAGCTGGGAGATGGAAGAGAATATGCTTTAAGGAAAGGGGATTCCCTGTTTCTTTTTCCCTACATTGGATTGCATATGGATCCAGAAATCTACCCTGAGCCTCAGACGTACAAATACAACAGATTCATCAATCCGGACGGCACCAAAAAGGAATTCTATAAGAACGAGAAGCTGCTGAAACATAACATTATGCCATTTGGGGGTGGATCTACCATGTGCCCCGGGCGCTATTTTGCTGTCAGTGAAATGAAGATGTTTGTGATCTTGATGCTTGTCTACTTTGATATGGAGCTGGTGAATGCCGAAGAGGACATGCCGCCCACAGACGAAATGCGCTGCGGCTTTGGGGCTGCCAGTCCTTCCCGCGATATCCAGTTCAGGTATCGCCTGAGATGCTCAGATTAAAGAAATTTAAAGTTGGTAATATTTTGCATCTCTTTATTCTGATCTCAGGATCTCAGAAGGGAAAAGAAAACCTCATTTTAAAAAAGTCTTCATAAAATGTGGGTGTAGAAATAAATCCACGTGAGAGGTTTGGCTGTGTTATTTTGCAATTTCACGGGCATAATGTTTGATTTCATCTTTAGTCTGACTTTAGATTTTGTCTTTAGACCAGAGGTTCGCAAACTGTGCTCCTCCAGATGTTTTGGACTTCATCTCCCACCATTCCCATCAGCTGGTAAACTGGCTGGGATTTCTGGGAACTGAAGTCCAAAGCACCTGGAGAAGCAAAGTTTGAGAAACACTGCTTTAGACTGTCTGCTAACAAGCTTCCTGAAGAGGTTCCCATTGACGTATATCACTTGTGTATGCCTACTGAATCCCTTTAGGGAGATAGAGTGGAAGATAAATAAAGTTATTATTATTATTATTATTATTATTATTATTATTATTATTATTTGTTCTGGGTTGTTGTAGGTTTTTTCAGGCTATATGGCCATGGTCTAGAGGCACTCTCTCCTGACGTTTTGCCTGCATCTATGGCAAGCATCCTCAGAGGCGAAACATCAGGAGAGAGTGCCTCTAGACCATGGCCATATAGCCCGAAAAAAACCTACAACAACCCAGTGATTCCAACCATGAAAGCCTTCGACATTATTTGTTCTGTTAATTCTGTTGGCTGTTTGTTGCTAATTTTACTGTATTGTGGATCTTTTGAGTATTTGTTTTTCTAAATGCTGTCTTTCTAGATGTCTTTTGAAATGCTAAGATGAAGTTTCAAAATTTACAGCAGGCTAGAAGTTTGAGGACTGAAGGAAAAATTCATTCCATGGGTCGGCATTCTTTGAAGGGAAGGGCAGTGCCTGAGTTCTGTCTTGGGCAATTCACACGCTCTTAAGAAAACTCAGTGATAGGGTCACCTTAACATCTCCATAAGTCGGAAATAACTTGAAGGTACACAACAACCACAACTATTGCTGACTAATTTTCTACTGCATACTTTTTGTGACATACCTAAGTAGGCCTTGGAATCCTACTAGAGCAGACCTATTTAGTCAATTTCTGAATGGTGAGTCAAGATGTAGGCCAATCCCATTGATTCAATGTATCCTGTGGGGGGGGGGAGTATAAAAGGGAGAGATTCTGTCCCTTGTTAGACCACACCTGGAATATTGTGTCCAATTCTGGGCACCACAATTCAAGAGAGATATTGACAAGCTGGAATGTGTCCAGAGGAGGGCGACTAAAATGATCAAGGGTCTGGAGAACAAGCCCTATGAGGAGTGGCTTAAGGATCTGGGCATGTTTAGCCTGAAGAAGAGAAGGCTGAGAGGAGATATGATAGCCATGTATAAATATGTGAGAGGAAGCCACAGGGAGGAGGGAGCAAGCTTGTTTTCTGCTTCCTTGGAGACTAGGACAAACAATGGCTTCAAACTACAAGAAAGGAGATTCCATCTGAACATGAGGAAGAACTTCCTGACTGTGAGAGCCATTCAGCAGTGGAACTCTCTGCCCCGGAGTGTGGTGGAGGCTCCTTCTTTGGAAGCTTTTAAACAGAGGCTGGATGGCCATCTGTCAGGGGTGATTTGAATGCAATATTCCTGCTTCTTGGCAGGGGGTTGGACTGAATGGCCCAGGAGGTCTCTTCAAACTCTTTGATTCTATGATTCTATGAACTGTTGATCTAGGATTCTGAAGGTGAAGAGTGACCTCTTGGGTAGAAATTAGAATGTTGAAATTCGCATTTAGCCTGATTTCTGTGTACGAACCCACACAATCTCTTCGATCATCTGGAGAGACCCTACTCGCGCTCCCACCTGCATCGCAAGCGCGATTGGTGGGGATGAGAGAGAGGGCGTTCTCGGTGGTGGCCCCTCAACTCTGGAACTCACTTTCTAAGGATATCAGGCATGCCCCAGCTCTGGCAGTCTTTAGGAGGAGCTTGAAGACGTGGCTGTTCCAGTGTGCCTTCCCAGAATAATGAACCCTTAGCATTATGTCCTCCAAAAGCACTTTATACTGATTTAGGACTGCTTGTATGTTCCCCCAACGCCCCACCTCCTCTATCTTGTTCATGCCTAGCATTATTTTTTTAACTTAATTACATTTGGCCCAGCCATAGTTTTTATATGAGTTTTGTTGCCACTGTTCAATGTTTATGCTATTTGTGTATGAGATTTATTTTAATTGCTTCGTATTAGTATTTGTATTTTGCTTTGTATTGTAATTGTTATTGCTTGTGTTCTGTCGCTGCTGGACCTGAAATGAAGTGCCTTTAAGAGAGGATGTATGGCTTGGATCCAGCGGGAAGCCAGGAGGCCCGAAAAGAAACCTTTAGAGAAATTTCCCTTATTAAACAGTCTTTATGAGGCTTGAGCTTAAATATAACAGTCATTTATTGATGAACAAACAGGAATTGTAAAGTTTTCTAAACAGTCTCTTAGCTCTTGCAATCTTGTTCACAGGGAACAGGCACTATCTTCAAAAACGTTGTTCAAAGGAAAATTCCCCTTTCTAGCTCCTCCCAGGCTACTGTGAACCTAAACCTGACTGATTTGAATCCACTACCGGCTGAACTGCGTCTCAGAACCGAGTAGACGTACCAACAGGCCTGTAATCACTTAGCTGCTTTGATGGTTAGAGCTGTTATTCCCTCTGGAATTCCTCAGGGCTGTAAGGCTGTTTCCCCAGAACCTTTGGGAATCTTTAGAGGCTCTTAAGACTGTTCTCCCGCAGAAAGTCTTAAGGGACAAAGCCTTTGCATAGGAGGACATCTGTATACATCCTCTGCATTGACTTCCTTTGCTGAGACTAACTGAAAAATGGCCCCTTCCCTCCAAAAAACCCAGAGAGGGGCAGGACCAGGGATCCTAACTATTATTGACAGGTGGCTTGCCCTATGAATGCAGCCAATGGAAGCCACCTATCTGCAAAGTCCCTGAAACTTAGGACTATGAACAAACACTCAGTGCAAAGCACAAAATTGGAGCCCTTGGAACAGCCGTTCCAGAACAGCTTGTATTGATGTATTGTGGGCTCGGCCTCATGTAAGCCGCACCAAGTCCCTTGGGAGATGGTAGCGGGGTATAAATAAAGTTTTATTTATTTATTTATTTATTTGTCGGTACAAGCCCTCAAATCCAGGCTTATCCCAAATGGACTGCTGGCTGTTCACATGATGCACAGTGGCCTCTGGAGAATGTGGCAGGGTTGTTGTTGTTGTTGATGATGATGATGTTGTTGTTGTTTAACTGTGATATATATTGATTCTTTTAACTGTTATAACTGTTTTAATTGCTGTTTATTTTTATCTGTATTACTGTGTAGGCATCAAATTGTGTCTTTTTTGTAAGCTGCCCTGAGTCCCCCCTCGGGGGTTGAGAAGGGCGGGGTAGAAGTACACGAAATAAATAAAATAAATAAATGTTTAAACTTACTTTCACCTCCTTTGGACAAAATCAGGGAATGCTCTGGATTTTCCTGGAAAATCCGGAGTATCCTGTAGCATTGAGATGGTCTGGTGAGCAGAATTGGGTTCAAATCAGCCAAATTTGCTATCCAGATTGTACATTGGTGCCACCACCCTTTCCCAGCATCCAGGAGGAAAGAAAAGATACGCTAGACAAGACAGAATGTCTCAGGGAGCAGGGTTCATAAGGTGATGGGAATTTTGTAATAGTGCTTTAGCTGTGCACATGGTCATGGTTATAGTCATATAATAATAGGATCCTAAATTAGAAGAGTTCTCCCAGGGCTATCCAGTCCTGTCCCATTCTGCCAAGCAATAAAATGCCATGAAAGCACTCTTGGCCAATACTTGTTCCTAATGTTGGTGGAATCTCTTATCCTGTAATTTGAATCCATTGTTCCATGTTCTAGTTTCTGGCTCCCTCCACATTATTACATCTTTTCTGATCTTTAAACATGATTATTATCATGCCACTCCTTCACCTTGTCTTCTTCAAACTAAAAACACCCAGTTCTCTAAGATGCTCCTCACAGGGGTTCGCGGTTTCTCAGTCTTTGACCATTTTGGTGGCCCTTCTCTGGACATGTTCCCAAGTCCCTTCGGGGAGATAGGGTGGGCTATAAATAAAGCATTCTATTACATTATCCTTATCCTTTTCGAATTGTGGTGCCCTGGACTGGACAAGTATGGTATTCCATATTATTAAAGTGGTATAGAATGGGACTTCCCTTCATCTAAGCCAGTGGTTCCCAACCTTTTTTGACCAGGGACCACTTGACCAGGGCCACTTTGACCAGAGACCACTCTCCAACATTAGTACCAAAAGGGTTATGAATCAGTTTCTGGTCAACTTTAGATTCAGTTTCGTTATTTGGGGTGCTGATTCAGAAAATTGCATTGGATAGACCATATCAGCTCTAGTTTCTGATACAGAACATATGTCATCCAGTAGTTGCCATCTGCTCACGCACAGAAAACCAGTTGCTCTCGTTGCAACGGTGTAGTAATGGTGAGGCCATGGACCATATTTTAGTTCTTGCGGACCACTGGTGGTCCACGGACCATTGGTTGGGAACCACTGATCTATGCACTATACTTCTATTGATGCAGGCTATAATAATTGCCTTGGCTTTTTTAAAGTTTGACAATGCAATTGAATAGTGATTTCAGTTAGGAGATGCTAAGGATTTATGTTTTGAATAACTTTTTGTAAACCTATATTTTGTATGTTAATGTTTTAATTGTATTTTATACGTTGGGGGGGCCTCGAATTGTGCCGAATGTAAACCGCCTTGGTTCGCCATCAGGCTGAGAAAGGCGGTAAATAAATATGGTAAATCAATACATAAATGCAAATTATCGCCTCTCCACAAAAGTTAAACCTACAAATGTGGAGAGGCTAGTGTGTTTTTTGTTAGATTTTAAGTCATTGTGGCACATTTTTATTTATGCGCCCTGTCTTGAAATCCTCTCTAGGATGATGCCGTCTCCAACTTTAATGCTATAATTGTTGCCAATGCTAATTATTATATGTTATTTAGGATCACAGCAATCCCTAGTCCATTCATTGA